GGTTGATCAAAATATTATTTCTTTAAAGCACAATGATCAGATAAAAATTTGATCAAGAAATTTGGCTTTAAGCACAATTAACGAAAGAATAATGCGACAACAATTCGATTATTCAGTATATACGAGAGAAATGAATGAAGATCTATAAGAATAAGTTTACAGATTCTGATATTCAAGAAAAATGAATGTATATGAATCAATGTAAAAAAAATATCAGAAAACAAAATTCAATACAAACGAGTGTATTATCACCGAAAAAGATTTTCATATAAGAGACGTGATAATAACAGTTTGAAGAATAGCTGAAACAGGTATTGGAGTTATGTACGATGAGAAATTACACAAGTAAAATCTCAGGAAGTACCTGTTCAGAGAATGTACTCGTTTTAGAAAACATTTCCATTTCCGAAAACATTTATTAAAAAATTCTAGAGACTCCCCCTAGAAAACAGATTTAAGTAATGATTCAGTTAAGCTCAAAAAATTAAAAAATTTGAAGAAAACATTTTAAGTACGATTTCTAAATTGAGTGTTTAGAAACCACACACGGTAAAGCACGGGTCCTGAACTGAAATGTTCAGAAGCCTCGTTTGGAATAGATTACAAGTCCCCCTGCATTGGTGTATCACTGAAATGATATTCTGATCAGCACAAAATTGACACACCTGCAAAACCAGATTAAGTAGATTTTGGTACCTAAACGAACTTGGGTCCTATTTTGTTAGTATCAGGTTGGGGTATGTTGTAATTACCAAACCATTTATTTCTATAAGGTATTTTCTTTTCAGCACTATTAACAGGATGGTTATATACAAAATATGACTCATGCCAGTTATTATAATCATACATGTTCTTACCTTTCCAGTTGTTCTGATAACTGTTACCTCCATGCCACCTGTTGAACCTTTTGTTATTGACAAAATTATTGGTTCTACATGTTGAGCACATAATCCTTCTCTTGCTAAGATTGATCAGATCATTAGTGGATTTCACAWTGCAAGGAAGATTGTTAGTAACAACAGGTGTATGAGATAAAACATATTCAGACTTATTGACCCAAATGCTTTTAATCTTTGAAGAATAATTGGGTGATCCAATGACATATCCTTGATAATTCTGATTAAAACGAGAATAGTTCTTAGAAACATTAGATTTAGTACTACTTGAATAACTGTTCGAATAGGAACAATTATAAAAGCTGGTTTTACACTGTGATTGAGAACCAGTTGGGCTTTTAGCACACGAAAAGTCTTTGATTTTTTGTAAAAGCTGGTCTCTTTCAACAGCAACTAAATCATGTTTCTTTTTCAGTTCAGTTCTCATGTTCAATTCAGTTTCAAGGTTTGTCTTTAGATCAGGCAATTTCTTTGAAGTATCCAAAAACTTACTTTCTAATTCCTTCTTTGACTTTTCAAAAAATTTCCGTTGTTTCTCAAATTTCTTTCTCTCTTCGTCTGAACTTCCCTTCTCATTTTCTAAAGCAATGTCAAGCCATTTCTTTTTCTCTGTAAGCTCTTTGGCAATTGCAGCATTTTTCTTGACAGTGTTTTTCTTTTCAAGAATAAACACTCTCTTCTCTTCATCTAATTCTTTCCTTTTTCTGAACAATGCTGTCTGACAATTCCAAATTCTTTCTTTGACATWCTTCTTCATACTCTTTCTTCTCTTTATCAAACTTGGATCGTTCCAAGATGATAAGTTGTTCAAAATCTGAAATTTGATTTAAAGGAAATTTAGCATTCAGCTCAAGAGAATTAATCTTATTTTCATAAGATTCACGTTCAGTACAAAGTCTTATTTCTATTTCAGAAAATCTTTTCTTCTCTTTTTCAAAAACTAATTTTTCAGTATTCAGACTTTGTTCAGACTCCAAAACTTTTCCTTTCTCTATCTCCAGTAAATTCTTTAATTCAATCAAATCAATCTCATATTTATGAATTTTCTCAGTAAAGTCCTCAGTCTCTGTATTTTTTCTCCCAAAATAGTTCCTCTCAGCATTTAGTTCATTTTGAACTTTTTGGAGTTTAATGGTCAATCTATCTATTCCGATATATGGATAGATGTATGATCCAGCATGCCCATTTGTGAAATAAAAAACCAAATTCCATTCTTGAACAAATCTTTATTAGACGTACTCCATTTTTTTTTATCTCTTTCTCACATTCTATTCTGACATCATCCAAAGATTTTTTAAGTTTATTAATCTGATACTTGGATTCATTCTCAACTCTTTCTAATATTTCTTTATGCTCCTGATTCAAAATTTTAATACTTTTCTCAATAGCATAATTCATAACTTTATAGTTCACAATGCTCTTTTCCAGCTCAACAATCTTCTCTCTCATCTCCTTTAGAATATCTGTCATTTAAAAAAAAATTGATCAATTATAAGATCTATGCAGTTAAATCAGTAAAAGAAATTAGGAACAATTAAGTTCAAAAAGAATACCAGAAAAACACAAAAACTGATGAGAATACAGAAAATCGACAAAAAAACTGTCAAAAATCAGTAAAAACAGTCAAAACTGTTGAAAACAGTTAAAAACTGTTAAAAACAGTCAAAGACAGTTTAAACTGATGAAAAACAGTTTACGCGACAGAAAACAATTCAAAGATTCTCAAACAGTTTAAAACACAAACAGATAAACGAAATGATCAAAAAAAAAACAATCTAAACAAAAATTAAAACTCAAAACCAAAAACACAACAAATATAAGTCCAAGATGAAAATAAATGTCCAAGTGCAAAACAATTATTCAAGACCAAAAACTGATTCTAGCCCAAATCAAATAGCCAACAACCGTAGCAACTTTTCACTATACAAATGTGAAACTTTAAAAAAAAATTAAATTGTTCTATCTGCTCTCGAGTTGCAACTTCTATCCAAAAGTCCACTTGAAAATTGCAACTTCACAATCCAATCAACCCGTCCTTTATAAACTTGCAACAAAATGAACCTCTGCTTTCCACTCTGTATGCTCTTCACCCTCGTTTGCTTGTTACCAGCACTGCTCGTTTGATCAACAGATGCTAGTGATTTCTGAGCCATGCCTCCAATTTTTTGTATAAACCTCTCCTTAGCTGATACTTTCCAGCCACACTGTCAATCACAATTATTCAACCTCACAAGAACATGAGAATCATATGAATCCCAATTATCTTGTGCCTTGACCAATGAATCAAAACAACAGCTTCAAAACTGCACTAGTTCAATAAGCAGCTTCAAGTCTGTTTTAAAACAGTCAAGACTACACACTAAATCGCTCTTAAACAGCTCAAAACTAACAGTAACCACACACTGCATGATCAAGAAAATAGATCACCAAACAGACTCCAATAACAAACATAGAACCTGTGCAAGAAATTAAATATGTGTATGGCTTGTATAATAAACCTGTGATTAAATCATCCAACCAATCACCAAGACTGCATTCACCAAGGCTGTCACAACTAGAGATTATTGTCCACTGTCTACTAATGCATTCACCAAGGCTGTCACAATTACAACTGTGATGGCAGATTTTAGTTTAGAAACCAACCACTTTCTGAAATGTGGCTTTCATGATCAAGCATGGGAGGTGTTTGTGCTTTGTTGCTGTTGCTTAAGGTTTCCACTAGCCTGGTAAATCAGATTGAGAAACTTTGCCACAGCCTGTGTGTCCTAGCCTTCTGTTTAAGTCTGCAACTGATAGAAGATGTCGAGGTGATTCAGAACACAAATAAACCAATTTCTGTTTGACAGCAGTTTGTTTGATAACTGAAACAAACAGATGCTGTTTTAAGCTACCAAGTGCTTGAATGAATGCAAAATCAAGCAACCAAGACAGTGGCTGAATAAAGTTCAAAAATGGAATGTGAGCAGTTTCAAAGAGTAGCAGAAACCACAAACTGCCCTTAGAACCTGTTGGCCAGATTCTATTCAAACCGGCTGTCCAAACTCTTGTCCAAACAGATTCTATTCAAACCTTTCACCAGACTCTATTCAAATTCTCCACAGTTAGAAGAATGCCTTCAGTTGGGTCAATGACATCAATGGAGAATGCAAAAGCTCCAAGTCTCAACAATTCAGTTTAAAACTGCTTAAAGCTGTACTAAATCGCCTGAAACAAAAGCTTTAAAGTCACTTAAAATCAATTGTCTCAATTAAGAAGAAGCTGAGTCAATATCCAAATGAGATGAATCTGTCAAAACAATTGAGTCAAATGAAACAGCAAACAATTTAATCTAAGAGAACCTGATTGAATAAGCGATTTCACCTTGAATCCTTGAAACAAGCGATTTAATCCTTGAAACAGTCAAAGTGATGTAAACAATGACTGATTTACACAGTCCACTAAACAGTCTCTAAACAGCTCACTAAACATTCTTTATACAAACAGCGGTAAATCGTTCAACACAAGGAAGAAAATGCTCAACAGACTATACTTAAATCGCTTAAAGCAAGTCAAAGCATGGTCTTAAATTGCTTATGATGAAACTGTAAATCACTCACAATGAGGCTGTAAATCATTCAAGAACCAACCTAAACTGCTCAAGCTTAATAGTCTTTGAATACTCTCAAGTCTGCTCAACACATTATCCTAATACAGTCAACACACAGCTTGAGATTTACACTTCACAAATACAAACCAGATGACCTTGTGCGATTTAGGAACTTCCTTGAGCGAATAATTGAAAAAATTATGAAACCTTACCTTCTGATATGAAAAATTTTAACAGAGAAACCTGTGTAGCTTGTAATACAGTAATAATACGGGAACTGTTCAACTGCCTTCGCTCACAATCCTTGAAGCTTAAAAGAAAATCATATGAAAATCCCTTTTGACACAAACACCAGATGAGTAACAATACAGGAACTATGATTCAGATTTGAAATGTAAAAGACGAATCATTGATTGATTGCTACCGTTTTGAAATTCATACAATGGAATAACATCGGACAAAAATTCTTGAATTTGGCTAAGGAAATGAACGATTTACCTTTAGTTCAGACAACCTTCAATCGATTTAACACAAAGTCTGGTCAAGAGTTGTGCGAATCCGGTCACTAGTCTGGTCAAGAGTTGTGTGAATCCGGACACTTATCCGCTCACGATATGTACGATTTAGGCCCTGTTTGTTTTTCTAAAAAATCACTTAATTGCCTCTTAAGTCTGACCGATTCAGACCTAGAGGAATTAAGTGCGTTTGTTTTTTTATAAATTAAGTGCTGAAAATGTCTCATTTTCTCTGAATCGGTTAGATGCAAATTTAGCTCTGAAAACCTCTTAATTTGATTTCTCCATCGCTGTTGCTGGAATCATTCCCCTTCTGTTTGTTAATCGACTCTCCAATCGACTTCTCCTTCTCGGCTGCTGCTTCCTTCCCTCTTCTGCTGCTTCCAATCGACAGCCCCTGCGGCTCGATTTCTTCCTCCCGGCTGCTTGATGACAGCCCCTTTTGCTGTCCACTTTCGATTTCGCGTCGCCTTCGCCTACTGCTCTCGCTCCCTCTCCATCGCTCAACAGGATTGCTCTCTCCGTCGCCTACTGYTGTCGCTCAACCTCTCCATCGCTCAACAGGATTCGCTCATCTCCATCGCTTCATGTACTGCTCTCGATCTCTCTCTCAATCGCTCAACAGGATTCGTCAATATCTCCATCGCGTCGCCTACTACCTCTCGATCTCTCGATTTAAGGTATCAATCTCGATCTCTCAAGCTCTCTATCTCTCGATTTTATTTCTCTTGCTTGGTTAATTTCTGTAATGCGGGTTTAGGGTTTACCTCCTATAAGGGTTTTTGTATGTAAACCCCACGGTCCTATAAGGGGTTTTTTTTTATTTGGTCTGTTAATCCTATAGAGTATCGTGTGTGTGAGCATCGTGTGTTTATAAAACAGGATTCATGTATTGACTGGACTATGTTTATAAAACAATTGACGAACCAGTTGGTGAAGGGGACTTTACAGAGTAGAAAAAAGAGGGAGTTTGTACACAATAGAAAAAAAGGCAGTTTGGGACTTTACAGAGTATCTTTTGTGGGATTTCATGTTTTGTGGGATTTCATGTTTTGATCCTGATTGATTATCATTGCTTTAGGGAAAAACTATAATTTTGATGACATATTTTGGATGAAAAAACATTGATGAAAGAGGGAATGAATTATGTTGATGGATTGTTAAATTTATGCATTCAGCCATCCTTGCAGGTAGATTGAGGGAGTGTAGTTGCTGTATTTCTATTTTAATCGTAATGATTGGTAATAAGA